ATTACAATGGAACATTTATAAACAATCTTACGTAAACAATGACACTGCAGACAGACGCACGCGCATTACAAAAAAACGTTCTAAACAATCGTACGTAAACAATGACACTGCAGACAGACGCACGCGCATTACAAAAGAACGTTTTAAACAATCGTACGTAAAACAATGACACTGCAGACAGTCGCACGCGCATTGCAAAACAGCGTTCTAAACAATCCTATGTAAACAATGACACTGCAGACAAACGCACGCGCATTACAACAGAACGTTCTAAGCAATCCTACGTAAACAATAGACACCGCAGACAGACGCATGCGCATTACAAAAGAACGTTCTAAACAACCCTACGTAAACAATGACACTGCAGACAGACGCACGCGGATTACAAAAGACGTTCTAAACAAACGTACGTAAACAATGACACTGCAGACAAACGCACGCGCATTGCAAAAGAACGTTCTAAACAATCTTACGTAAACAATGACACTGCAGACAGACGCACGCGCATTACAACAGAACGCTCTAAGCAATCCTACGTAAACAATAGACACCGCAGACAGACGCATGCGCATTGCGAAAGAACGTTCTAAGCAATCCTACGTAAACAATAGACACCGCAGACAAACGCATGCGCATTACAAAAGAACGTTCTAAGCAATCCTACGTAAACAATAGACACCGCAGACAGACGCATGCGCATTACAAAAGAACGTTCTGAACAATCCTACGTAAACAATGACACTGAAGACAAACGCACGCGGATTACAAAAGAACGTTCTAAACAATCTTACGTAAACAATGACACTGCAGACAAATGCACGCGGATTACAAACGAACGTTCTAAACAATCCTTCGTAAACATTAAAAAAAAAAAACTAAAAATGGCTAGCTTTAGACATTTTTATCGTATTTTTGTATTATTCGTTGCAAAATAGTTTTAAAACTAAGCGTAATTTTAAAACAGAATATATGATATAAATAGGTAAAAATATCTATATTCATCTGTTTGTTTAGTGTTACAACCATGATTGTTCCAATATAAATTACATCGACTGTAATTGTTGTTGATCAAATGCCAAAATAAAAGAGTTTCAAACATTTTTAAATTACATTATCAATGTAATTACACTATATCATCATTATTCGATTTAATAAATGCCGTTCAACTTTCGTATCTTGAAATATTCAACCAGTATCAGTAACGTTATTTTGATGTTATTGGCATATTTTTGACGAGGATACCTATTTTCCGAGTTAGGATTCGAGTTAGGATTCCAGTTTTATGATTCGAGTTTTAGGATTCGAGTTTTAGGATTTGTGGAATGCAGTCTCCGGGAACTCTTGAGAGTATTCAGATGAATAATTTGAGTTTTCATGCGTTTAAAACTCGAAAAAATAAATTACAAAGAGCAGCGACCCCAAAAAACATACATTCTCTTATTTTTACAAATTTGAAAAAAATCCTATTCGRTRAGTATTYAACCAAATATGCTCAAACTTGACAAGAACACTTATTTAGTGTGGTCTTTCATGTGGTGAGGTTCAGTTTTCGATGAATGTA